TAAATATATATATTTTTAGAGAGAGACTTTATCTCAACATCTACAGGCAGGCTGTGCACACACAACAACAACAACAAAAGTTCTCATCGTGTTCAGGTTTAGTTGTTTAACAACCTGCAGGCCTGCGTCAAAATTATAACCGGGACGATGTGCCATTACTCCCGATTCTTGAGTTTACGCTCCGCTTTAAAACTTCCACACTGGAATTTCTCCTATAAATAAATCAATAAATAAAAGCGGACGCAGCACCGTGAGAAAGCAGGAGAGGATGTTGTGGATTCTCTCCTTTATTCCTCTCCGGCTCGTTTCCAAACATTATATAACCAATCTTAAATAACCGCCGCTCTTGCAACTGCGTAATGTCGCAGTTTCAAAGGTCGCAACCCTCCCACAAACGTCCACACAACACCAAACTGACGCATTTCTAATTTGCTTACGTTTGACCTTCAGATTTGTTTTCTTCTCATCAGTTGATGGGCGGCTTTGGGGACAAAAACAAAGAAAAAAAAAGTTTGAAGAAAGTCCGCAGTGTTCAGATCACAGAGGTCTCTGCGCTCCTGGGACCCTCTGTAGTCCTGAACTAAACCCGGATTCGCCAGCCCCGATGCTGCCGCATCAAACTAAAAATAATTTTAAAAAGAAGGACAAACAGCCGTTTGACCTAAGACTGAGATCACAGCTCGCTTTTAACTTTTTCTTTCTCTGAAAAAAAAGTAGTCTGGGGGGAAAATGCAGAGCTGCACGGATCTGCATTTAAACTAATAACCTTGTGATTTTCTACTTTCTTGTTTTCTTGTCATTTGAGACTCCTCCTGTTGTTAAAGTGAACTCATGTCTTTGAATAATGACGTGCACAAAAGCAGGAGTCAGTAGCTCTTTAAATACTCGGTGAGGAGACAGAAGCACAACTAACATAACTTTAGTAGTTTTCATATGTGGTCACGTTTGGACCAGTGTAAGCAGCAGCGGTGTTTGGATCCCGTGGAAGAAACCAAAAGGCAACATGTAGAAACTATGAGGACACCAGACAAGCGCTCTGAATTATCACATTGATAATCTTCTGTGTGTTTCTAATAAATGCTGCAAAACTCTAATAATAATAATTTAAATTCATTATTAGTTAAACTCATTTAATTTCAAGTGAAATTCTAATTTAAAACATTACCACAACGATAGTGTAGTTTGTGTAACTTTGAAGTGTGGCGTTATATTCAAAAGTTTTCCTTCCGTTTAAAAAAATATTGATTTTTTTTCTTTCTTTTCTTTTTGTTGTTGCAGATTTTAAACGGGGGGAACTGAATCTAAAATTGAAATTTGTGTATTTCTCATGCTTATTATTATATTCAGTAGTCCACGGGCAAAAATAAATAAATAAAATAAGAAGATTTTAGAGCAGTAATCGCGCATTTCAATACCAACACGAAATCATATTTATAAAAAGGTACATTTCGTTCAAACAGTTTGACCTTAGAGCCACACAGAAGGCTACTTTGTCTACAGAGCGTCACTCCACAGGTTTTATTTGGCGGGTCTTTTCCTCCCGGGACTGAACCTGGGATTTTTTGTGTAAACCACCACACTGTGGACCACTTGTTAAAGTTAGTTTCCTCCACTTTGTACGTAAAAACTTTGTAGAGAAACCTTCAACGGGCCAGAGCTCATCTGCGTCCGTTTTAACGAGCAGCAGCGTTCACACACTGCACGCGCACATTTACCGAACAAACAGGAACTCCGTGGAGGCTCGCGTGTGACATCTAACGCACTTTGTTTGTGTGTTTTGTTTTGTTTTTGTTGTTTTTTTAAGGGTTTCTAAGAGGCTCGTGCAGCCTTTTATGTCCTCGTTTGAAATCTTCCAGTGGGAGACTTTTCCCCTTTAAATTGTGATAAAAACTTCACTTGTTTTTTATATTCACATAGCTGTGTTTGGCATGGCTCCACAGAGGCAACACTCAGGTTTGCTCATTAAATGAAGTTAAAGTGAAAACTCTAACAATTCTAATAAAAATCGTTACATGGATTCTTACACGTGGACATGTTTGCGCAGAGCTTGTGTGAGATGTGTGCCCTCCCACTGACCTCCGGGATTACAGTAATCTCTGTTGATTGATCTGATTGATCAGATTCATCTCCACGAGGCCGCAATCCGCACACGGGGTGGCGGTGGTGGGGACGCAGATGAGGCAGTCGGTGAATGGTGCAAATAAAGCGTTTTTTTCTTTTGGCCTTTGGGCACGAGCTTTTCCAAACAGTGCGCAGGTCTGGGTGGCTGTAAACACCGGTATCATGTGACGCAGAATATGCGCTTTGATTTAATGTAAGTGAGATTTCAGGAGATTAAATTTGGATCTCACCATGATGATACTAAAAAACAAAAGTGGGGGAATTTTGTTGTTGTTGTTGTTGTTGTTTTTTCAGGATAAACCTGAACTCAGATCAGCACAGCATAAGGAAAAAAACTTTCTAAAAAAGATTATTGTTATTATTATGCATTAGTTTATACTTCCAATGCGATAGCGACATTTAATGAATAGTGACGAGTGCAGACTATAAAATGAAGCGCAAAAGGAAAGTTTAAGAAAGTCAGTATGTTGCAAAAAAAACAAACATCTTAACTGAAATTACGAATGAGGGCACTTAGAATAAAAACATTACACAGAACCACTTCGGTATTAAACGCGTGTAAATTGATGCTGTATTAACATATAAAAAGCATCCAAATGTTTCTTAAATGTACACCAGCATTTAAGTGCTTCCCTATATCGCCACAGTAAATGTTTTTGATATGAAGCATTTAAGGTGAAACAAAACACTGTATCTCCTGTTTGTTTTGGGGCATCTTTTGAAGAGGACCGGTCTGTTTACTATTGCACAAATTCAGCCGTGTCTTTTAATTTCATGCAACCACTGTTTTTGCACGTTCACTGTTTATTAACAACACAGGGTTGTCCCCGTCTTGATCTCTCTATCATGCATGTGTCCATCCATCTAACGCTCTCTAAAAAGTCTAAACAAGCAGGTGTGTCAGTCGGCAGCCAGGCCTGAATGGAAGTACTGGGGTACAATTAGGCATCAAATGTAGCAGCCAATAAATAAATAAATAATCTGTACTTGTTAACATATTAGAAACATGAAAATGTTTCCTAAAAACACCCAAAGAAATCAAGCTATGAGGAGTCTTCAGAAAATTGAATATGGAGGGAAAAATCTGTTTTTTGGAGGGCAAAAACATTGGAGACAACGAGGAACAAGGTGTGTGTGTGTGTGTGTGTGTGTGTGTGTGTGTGTGTGTGTGTGTGTGTGTGAGTGTGTGTTGCGTGTGCAGCAGCAGCAATCAGTCCCCTCTTGTCTCTCCGCAGAGTGCAGCGTCTGATTGACAGTTTCTATTCATACTCTGTGAGATTAGGCCAGCTGAAAGGAGTAACGACCCATGGCTGTGCGCAGTAATTACGGCTTCGGATAAGAAAAATAAGAAAAAACACACACGGCAAAACTATAATTATATAATCCCATTCAAAATGCCCCCCTTTTTCCGCGCTGTTTTCAGACACGTTTCACCTGTAAAGAGGAAATTCCATCCAGTGTTTCAGTTGCGCCCGCGACTGAAATTATCTCACAATCACAACAAACTACAGGCTGCACCATCAACATCAAGCTGGCAGAAGAAAATAGACCGGTGAAAAGATGACTCCGCGCATATACAGTGGGCGCTGGCAATGAGCCGCTTTATCTCCAATGGAAAACAAATTGTAACCTCACTTTGTGCTGCTTCATCTCAGTGCTTGTGACAGATTTGTGTGTTAACAGCGTGCAGTGTGCTTACCATCCATATCATAAACAAAAGACCAGACAATTCTGTGCAGGCTAAGGGGGTGGACAAAATAACCGGAACGCCTATTCAGACAGTTGGTTTAACTCTTTGGTCATTTTCAGAGTGGAGATTGTGACACTATGGCACCGGATTAAATTTTCAAAACACGTGTTTTGCTGCTGTTGCATCCATCCTCAGGATACAGCTGCTTTTGGCTGGAAGCTAAAAATCCAATCTCTGAACTAAAGCTATGCAGATAAAATATTTTGTAGATACCACACATTTAAAAAATACATGTATTTTATTTATTTATTTAGCTATGAGCTTTGTATTTTATTTATTTATTTTTACAAAATTATGGCCTCATCACAACAACATTCAGGGGCACAACAACTTTCTCAGAAAAAAATCCAACTCAGTTTTGAGGTTCTGCGTATTGAAGCGACTCTGTCCTCAACGCACAGCACAGTCTAGTAATATAGAAATTTATTTAATGGCCCCAAATCATGATTTCGGTTTTAAAAAACGACTAGTATCGTAATATTTTGATTTCAATAAGAAAAAGGGAACTCGAAGTTTCATGTGAATGAAGAATAGATTTAGAAACGCTCACAGCATGCGAGCAGGGCAGGGGGCTTTCTGTTTACTCCCAATATGTGGCAAAGACCGATAAGAACATCCAGGATTTAATAAGCAGGAAATTAAGCATATATTTTACTGCACAGCTCAAATATATATATATATTTCTTCCTGGTGTTAAGAGGCTGCCATTGAGAATTGCTAGTGCCTCTGATCGAGTGAGGGAAAAAAATCGAGCTAAACTGAGACATATTGAGAATAATTCAGGCTTTACCTTACTGGGTCAGAACTGTTCATTGTGCATCTGCACTCATTGTTTTTCTGGACCGCAGTGAGGAGCTCAGAGTTCAGCCGTACAACAACACAAAAACACACATAAAAAGTCAGAGCTGGTGCTGATGCTGTGGGGAAACCCGTGCATTGCTTCTTCGGGCTGTTTCCAGAGAAATACTGCAGGAAAAAAAAATAATCGTCTCATATCTCTGTGCCTGATCGCAGTCCACAGCGCCGCTTATCCTCTAGTGAAAACATGCCCTGCCGGTGGACCAATGGGAGAGCGACTCTGTGCGGGCAGGAAATGACGTCTGGTTCCTGCCTCTGTAAAGTGCACCGTGTCACCACAAATGCTATCCACACAGCACCGTCTCTCCTGCTCTGGTGTAGGCAGGGTGCTCGAGCCGCCCCGCTCAGACGTGATGTTTCAGCTGTAAAGCAAATTGTCAACAAACCAACAAGAGTGCTCGAGACTCTGCGAGCAAATGTGACCCCATTACCCGACACTCCCCTCTAGAAGGGTCTCAACACAGACATTTTTTTTGTTTGTGCGCCTTTCAAAAGCAGGAGAAGGACGACCCCCTTATGTGACCATCTCACCATCATCATTATCATCAACATGCAGTCACGGATCTGCAGAGGCAGCTGATCTGACCGGGAGTGAAGTAACAGGCTGCTGCGCTGGACAAACCAGGAGAAACTTTCCTTCCTGACTTCTGCACGGTGAACTGTGGCCGCTGTGGGGTTTTTTTTCAGCGCCTCCTCTCACTTTATTTCTATGTGGGTGAGCAGTGTGTGAGTGGCACCTCCCCGCTCCTCCGTAGATCTTGTTGCCCCCCTTGCAGCCCGCACCATGCATTCCTCCTGCACCTCGTATAGTTAGAGAAAAGATATCGAGGTCTCTTTCTCGCTCTCACCCCCCCCTAGGCCCGGCTAACTCTTGCTTCGGTTTTGGACTCCGGACCGTGCGTCATGCAGCAACACCTGAAGCTCACCACGGTCCCTTTGCAGGACCACATGGTTCCTTTGTAACTGGATCTACTTTATTTTGGAGGGAGAGGGGGGCATGCTCTCCTCGTCTCTGGAGAACATTTTCAAAGAGGTGAAGAAAGTAGAAAGACGGGACTGAGTGGCAGTGACGTAAGGAGGGAGAGATAAAGCTAATCTTATAGATTGTAACTTACTTGTAGATGTTTGACCAGGCCACGACTATGGGCGATGGGAACCACCGCTGTGGTCCCAACCCACTGTGTCCGGACAGGATGGAAACAAAGTGTCGCTCCGAGATAGGGAACCGGTCTCCGGTTCAGAGCTCCACCGACACCCCGGGAACATCAGCATCCACGCCGACTTCCTCCAGCGAAGAAGGGCATGACAAACTTTTGGGAGTGGACCCTGACTACTGCCGGAGAATTTTAGTAAGAGGTGAGTGGACAAAACGAAGAGATTAGTCCTGTGCTTAAAACTGCTGATCAGACAAAGATCTGTCAAATTTTACGCACGAGTATCATAAATAAATTAAGTGGATGTACAACAAAAACAGTTTAGATTATAGACTAACTTCAGATACACAGTGCAGCCAGGCAATGCATTTAAAATAAAATATACACACTTTAGACAGTGGTAAGAATTTTCCTGGAAATGTTTTAAATATCATATCAAACTATTAAATAAAAAGAAGAAACACTTGTGTTTATATGGAGTCAAAACTGTGAAAGTTTATCAAACACACACTTGAACTTCTAAACAAAGCGTATGATGTGAGCATGACACATCTGGTGAAGAGAGACCCAGAAAAAAGAAAAAAAAGTATCTATTGTAGTAACAACAGGCGGTGTGCACTTTAACTATAACAGTTTTAAACAGCAACAGTAGGGGAGTAAACACACCTTCGCTTTCTAAGTCATTTTTACTTATGCATACTTATGCAAACTTAAACCTTTGAGACAAATCATCGACTAATACTGGTTGCATCAATTGTGGCCGCACCTTTGTTCGTGTGAGAGCATAAAAATTTAATTAGTCCAATCAATAATGAAAACAGGGACGTTTTGCTTCAGTGAGATGATGCCTTATATTTTCCTAACAGCAGGGATATTTTGCCTTTAAGCGTTAGTGAGTGCAGCTGCTTCAAATCACAGCTGAGAGGTGCAGGAAGTAAAAGAAAGGCTGGAGGTAAACTTAAAATCAGGGAGAAGTCGCGCTGTTTGTGCAAAAGAACTGATATATATTTTAACACACACACACACACACACACACACACACACACACACACACACAAACTAAACACA